GTCACAAGAATAGAAATCGACGAAATACCGAAAAAGTGACTATCTGCTACTACAGACTTGGAAATCATAGTTCGATCTTGGCTGTACAACATCCACGAAGATCACAGCAGGGGCCAAAAATGCCAGAAATAACAACCAGATGTCTAGGAACGGCTTGCAGATACCGATCTCAACTGGTCATACTGTATTGTTTGCGTGGAATAATTATCACTAAGGTAATAACTCCGTCGTACTGCCAGATAATCATCCAGTAAATGTTTCAAGATATATTCTGTTGTCGACACTTTGGATTAATTTCCTTTGTAATCTGGTACGGCGTATTCCAAACATCATAATCAATGTTGTTAGGCTATTACAGCATTCGTTTCAAAAACATGCATCTCCAATCCGAAAGCCGACCGCACTATCCATGTCCATTCCGAATAGAATGTTGCTTTTTTAACATCATTCAAGACGCTGTATCGTAGCGATGAGAAATCAACCTAAGCACGATCTCTCCCCAAAGTGTCCATCTCTTTGAAAACTCTCCGATGACCATACATCGCTTTATGCTTCGATCATCCCACAAATCTCCACATATGCGACGTTGGCTGGAGAGTTGACGATTTCAGCCCGAAATGGGACCACGAAGTTGACGCCAGAGAAGCGGTCAGAGAAAGTAAAAAAAGTAATTGATGATGAGCTCGTGAGTTTTGAACGCCAAAAGGTCAGTCCGCCAACCTCATTGCCTTCAAAAAGCGGGGACCACCAGAAAGCTACGGATCATGTTTGCGAATCATCGAAAGCGCATCAGCCAAAGTCTTGGTCAAGCTTCCTACACATCAAGGATACCCCGACCTGTGCGAGATTGCTACTGCGGTTGTTGTTTTTCATCCACCCTCAGCAGCCAATCTGATGACGATTTGACAGTCTTTCCTCCTCCCTGCTGTTTCTGATTCCAGGATCCGAGCAACTGAGACGCATTTCAGGATATCAGGTGGTCAGATGTCTCGTGATGAGAAAGTATGGATAATATTCTTCGAAGAACGGTGAGCGAAGCTAAGCTCAGCCTTACGAGAAAGTATCCTGCAACCTCAGCTCCAATACGACCGTGGATATCCATGCTGAGTGAGATTCATCCAGTGATTTGGGATTGTCTCTACAGCTGACGACGCCGTACACGAGATATTGTGCATGACAGACATGCACACAAGCATCATGGCGGAGCTTGATGCTGAATCTCAAGCAACTTTGACGCTCTCATTGTTACACGCTTTGTGTTGAATACATGGATCAGCAGTTGACTCTGGGGTGAGATCAATTCAGTCATCTGAAACTCCCGAGTGAGACCCAATCATACCGGTCGAAGACAAGTGGCATGTGGCCGCCTGGGAACTGCCATCACACCAAAGCCTGCCGATGATGGGACCTTGCCGATGGAAGGCGAAGGGCTGCCGCGTTGCTTCATGCTCGCCGTCCTCCTGTCCCTTCCACATTCGGTCACCGGTGGATCGGAAAAGGATATCGCAAGCGTGGTTTCCCGCCGCTAAGTATATGTGGCATATGGGATATCCTATCGCGAACTGCGGGTTTCCCCAGTTGAGTTATTGGGATTCGAGAAGGCAAATGACAAACTACTTAAGACCCAGGGTAAGTGGAGGCTACTGAATTGTACAAAGAATGATGCAGCAGACCAACCCGAGGATGATGACCCTAGAGGATTAGGTAGCATTAGTCCATATCTCCACAGTCCGTCCGTATGGATGAATAAATTAATCGTACTGGCGTTGTTTGTCTCGGTGGCCGACGTCGGCCTAGCATTTGATAAGCCGAATGACAGGGGCCCTTTATTGACCGCGAGCACATTTGTATGAGGGATTTATGTCAGTAGCCAGTTCGCGAGTTGCGCTCTCCACTCCAACACGTTGAGCTTTGCCAACTGCTTCTCGCTCAGGCGCTCTTGGTGCATGCAAGTGTCGCCAAATGTAGTAAGACAAACACTAACTGCGCGCCAACTGAAGCAAAGCTGCAACTGAATGAACTGATCGAAGGGCACAGACAGCATTCTTTCTCTGACAGCTGCTTCGATCCAAAGCTTCGGGTCGTATTCCCCCTCCTACGCATGAGCTTTTATCTTTGGCTGTTTCGGTGTTCGTCAATTGTCAAATCATCGCAGAGCGTCAAAGGTCGACAAGTAATAAATACCTGGCTCGAGCGAGAAAGTACCAAGACGGGATCTTACTAGGATCATATGCGGGGTTTATGTACAGTTGCCTGTCAAAAGCTATAATAATGCTTTGATCTCGTTCCTTGGACCTTCTGACCCCTCATTATCATCCTCAAGTAATGCCTCCCAACATCGACAACCCCCACGATATTGCTGATGCTGAACTCGATATGGACTGACATTGAGCAGTTGTTTTGAAACGGTCTGTATGGCTTGGAATTCTGTACGGTATCAAGCGTACCATACCGTATGTTCTAGTACATACCACGGAGAAATACATTCMTTCACAATGACCTCTGCAGTGTAACAGGTTACACATGGGACTCGCCCTTGCTTTGGCCAGGCTCAGCCCGAAGTGTCATGGGCCTGGAAGCATTCCAGATAGACAGGGACCCCAACGGTCCCGACCGTTCTGCGGACTTTGTGAGAACTATAGATCTCCGAAGTTGTACGGCAACAGTGTACGGAGAACGGAGACCGTCAGAACTAGCATACGGACTACAGCCAAACCAAGTCAACCTCGCACATCATCGCGATCTCCTGATTGTCCGCACAACCCATTCCACCGGACGAATTCCAAATACAAGGGAGACACTGCATACTTGATGAAGCAGCCAAGAGCTCCGCCAAGAACCGCCAAGATCAATACACAATGCACAGTTATGTTGGTCCTCTGTGCATCTTCCCTTTTGGGAAGTCGGAGGTCAGCAGGATATGCTTAAAGGGATGTCCTCCTTGAAAGTCCTTACTCCCCTTTTCATTCCACAGCAGCACTTGGCGATGCTGCTTTACCTCCGCCAAGACGATAAGTCATACCGACGCCCCATCTTGATGATGCTCTATTGAATAATATTGGTATCCGGTTGATGATCGTTTACTTACGAAATATTTGCAACAATGTGTGGGCTACTTACCTCCTCCGCGATCTCGTGACTTGTGGATGGCTAAGGTATCAGTGTCATTGGGAGCGCGGACAGACAGCCGACACCAGACAAACATTGCTTTTTTCCTCCTTCTTGAGCCACCCCCTTATTTCCTCCAGTGTTACCGTCGACCGACCGTTCCATACTCAAGTTACTCTGCTTGCCAAGCGCTCTGCCAAGTATTGCACATTCTACATATGTGGTTTTCTGCGCCCTGTCTGCCAGCTCACCTTCGGGAGGGGGCGCAGGCGGCGCAGATATCGTGCGCCCTTTCTCCCTAAGTAATAGGCTCGTGTTGAGGGTTTGAGACAGCCGACAACTGATAGTGCTAGCGGTAGATCATGTCGATCATCGATAGTGATACTACGTGTATATCGAGGCTGCAATCGACCGTTTCCCCTACTGCTATGAGCCAATGCCAATACGATATTTGTCGCTTGGCATCGAGAGGACTGATGAGGACTGATTCATACTTCCAAATTCGGAAGAAAGTATTGATCTCATGATTGACCCCCAATGATGGGCGATCGAGCTTACAGGATACGTATCGCCAAGTTCTCCAGTACTACCTAGCCTTGGTACATTGACTTGCGATCACTAGGACTGTTGATCAGGCAGAACTAACATCAACCCAAAGGCAATTTATGCTATTTGTCGTGCAGCTTCGACCGATAATTTATTGTGTAAAGAAGCAGACAGCAGAATACATTGTTGGGATGAATACATACGGGATACAAGGTAGATATTCTTTTCATGCAATATGCTATAACCATGCAAAATACTCGATAGTAATAGCACGAAATGGCACCTACCGTAGCACGGAGTAGACTAACCCAATCCAGACGACAGGAAAGATCATACTAGAAGACCACAAACGCCAGGTATCAAATTACATTTTGCAGTGGTCATCTCGCATCCTAGATCATCCAGCATCTCTACGTCGGCTAATTTCGGACGCCGAAGCGATATCACCTTCTGCACCTTTCCACCAGGCACTAGATACCTACAGTACAGCCTATATCTCCATCACTAATGGATTTCCATTCGCATCCATCATTCGATAGACTTATACGTCATGCTCAATTGCCAATTACTAACTGCCATGTCGGAGAGACCCAGTGTAAACTAACTCGAGTGGTAAGACAACTATAATATATTTGCATCAGTCCGAACAAACACCTCATCCATTCTATGACACACACCTCCAATCTTCCAGCAATCAAAGGCAACGGAGATAACCAGGCACGGAATCTACTAGGTAAACCCCACATTACAACTGTACGTAGTATTCATCGGAAACGTCGGTTTGGTCTGTTATTGTCAGATGTGAGATGCTTTGACAGTTGTGACATCATAGGTTCCGGATGCGCATCTCGGGCTTGGGCATTGCGGCGATGATCCGTCCCCAGCCATGCACATTCACAGAGGTGCACACAAACGATCATACTACGTTTACTAGATATAGGTTCACCAGCCTCGTCAGCATGTTATCATGATGATCATCGCAGGGCTGGGTTTCTAATTATACTTCAGATGGGTACGTAGTCGGATACGTTCGCTAGGCATCATGATTTAGGCTTGGGTTGGTTGTTTGTAGTAGCTGATGGTATTGGATGCGTTGATATATTCTTGTTTCAAGTCACTGGATCATCGTGGATGCGTCAAGTATCGCTAGAACAGGGTACTAGTTTCATACACTACCCATAATATAGAACAAACTCCAACAAAGTGCTGTATAGGAAATTCATCTGCCAATGCCAGATCGACAGACGCCCAAAGCATATGCAGGAAAAAATATTTCGTGACCCCCTAAGGATACCAAAACTCCCACTAGCGGAAATGGCTTTGAAGTCTATGCTCCCGTGCCGTTGCTAGACACGCGTCCTTCCATGGCCACGTTGAGGCGCCCGTGTCGCTGCCTGGAGACGCCTCTCTAATCGACTGCCCATCTTGCTGCGTTGCTGCCTTTGCCTTTTCATTCTCCTCCACCATCGCAGAATATTAGCTTTGGCCCGAAGCAGCCGATCCCTTGTCTGCACGACCGCTGCGCATTGCATTGCCAGATTCCTCACCAAAGTTCGTCGGTGAGCTTCTCGGCTTGCGAGGACGCGTCGCCATGCACTTTGGAGCACTATAGCAGCTCGAGCTCGTTTGGTTGACGAAAATAGACGAGAGCAGAGGAAGGCGAGCGCTCCAACTGTGAAACTGCTGTCGAAGATGTGTGCCTTGTGGGAATTGCCAGGAGAAACGAGGTTTGCTATTAATCATCGGTTAGCCGTTACCCTGGGCTACAATCTAGAGATGAACTCACCAAACTGAGAATTGCAGCCAAGTGCTCGTAAACGGGTTGCCAATGTAGTTGCCTTTTGGTCGGGACTTGACGCGGCATTGCCCAAGATATAGTCTTCGTATTCGTTCACTATAGCCTCGTAGATCTTTCCATCCGCAAAGCTTGTGCTGAGATTCTCCAACCGGAGGCCACTCAGATGCGCCAAGATGGTTGCCCATTCCTTGAGCAATAGAACAGCTTCATCGTCTTCCATCCCGTCATTAGAACTCTTCTCCTTAATCAAATTTGCATCGTTGACCTGTGCGTATCCGAGCTGTGATGTAGCTTTCTGCCTAAGTCTGTCAATCTCTTTCCTCAGATCATCCCAGTCGATGAGCTCCGAAAGACCCCATCTGCTGACCAACCCCCATAGCAAGGCAATCGTCTTCTCGCGATGGCCATTAACTATGTCTTCGGCGTGCAGGTCACAAACAAGCGGCGCAGCACCTCTTGTCAACTTTAAGGCATCCAAAGCAATCTGTACATTGAACTTCTTCACCGTGCGGCTCGAGCAGGGGAACTTTAAACGTCTTGATAGCGGCCATTGATCATTGTCCAGCAGCGGCACCGATTCCCCTACGGCCCCTGCTGATGGATAAAGTAGTAATTCCACAATCCTAGTCAATCTCACACCATCCCTCAGGTCAACCGCAAGATTACTCATTTGATACTCGTACTCTTGCAGTTGGTGCTGTTCATATGACATGTGACAGTCCAAATGTTTGAGTGATTTCAAAATGTCACCCGATGCTGGCAGTAGAAGACGGGCCAGTGCTTGCATAACCGCTGCGGAAGACTTGAAAGACGAGGAGGACCTAAAAAGGCAACTTGGAAGCATTGTTCCTGGACACGATCTCGCCTTGTCCAAAAGTATAACCATCATGATACTCCGGAGGACTGTACGGCGGTATGCTTGGGACATCATATCTGAGCCTGCATGGCTAAGATCCTGCGCATCACGATCCATATCTCTATTTTGTACCAAGAAGACATCCAAGAACCGTCCCAGTTTTCGTCTGAGAATTTTTTCCTTATCTGCGGTGGTTTCGACCGAGGAATGATGGAAATCTCCATCGAGGGTCTCATTCTCAACTCTTCTTCCGGTAACGGTCTCGGCAGCCGCTCTCAGTGCTCGAAGGTCGTACGTTTCCAACCAAATATCCAAAAACTTCCGCTTCATACCCAAGTCATGTCTCAGACGCATTGTTTGTGTTAGAGCATCTTTTGGCATACTGAGAGAGCCATAGGTCAACGACGCTTGAAATCGCTTATGAAGTTCAACAAAAGGACCGCTTTGATACAGCTGAAGAAGCTCGTGCCTGCGTGCTGCATGGTCATCATATCTCATGTGACCGTCCGTTTGATCGAATAACCGGTTGGCTAACTGAGTAATTACTATCTCCTGATGTGCAAGCCAATAGTCCTCATACATCGCTGGGTTGGCAATATCGTCGGATATGAGTGCAAAGTCCTTCATCGTAGCCTCTTTCCTGATTAGTGAGGTGTTACTTTTAAATGCTTTGGACTGTTTGAGCGCATCCGGAATGGGTGTGCTTCTGGAAGTGGACAGAACGGCGCCTTCAAGTCTCGAGTTGCTTCTGACGACACCGTCCATTTTGCTGCCGATGCTGTTCACAGATGCCCTAGCATTATGCCGTTTCTCTCTGAGCACTGATCTCCTTAGCTCTTGACTGGTGGACACCTTCGCCAGTGGCTTTGGCATAGAGTCTGCAAAAGGACGAGCTTTGTCTGATATAGCTCTGGGAGATTTTGAGTTTAGTTTTTCTTCCGTATTCGATTTCCAGAAACCTTTCTCATTGGAATTGAAGAGCATTGCCCCCGGAGGGATATTCTCCTTCCCAGTATTCTTGCCAGCGATATCGACGTTTATGGCGCTTCCTTGCGCGACTTGAAGACTTGGTTGTAGCGGAGTCTTTTGACCTGAGGCCATTGCTCTCTTCACTTGTCGCTTCCGCGCAATTTGTGACTCCAGGCTGTTGATCTCCGTGTCCTCTGGAACATAAAGATTGAGGTTGTCGGACTTGAGCGGACTGAACATCCTCATAAACACGCTGGCGACCGTGGTATCGTCCGGGGGAATGAAGACCGTATTGCGGCGCACATCTCGTTTCAGTTTATCTTTATGTTGATTTTCGTCTCCTCCGCCATTGATTCGCATTAGGAGCGACCTGTTTGTCTCTGCGCCGGCATCTATGTTCTGTCTTTGCTGCTTGACTTCTGCTTTCTGGCTCTGTGGTTTGGCTGGCGAACTCGAGGCGAAGCTGGCTTTCGGGCGGAATCTATGGGCTGGTTGGGCAAGCAATGAGGATTTGCGGCCTGTAATTCTAGCTGTGATTGTGCTATCTCTTTTGCATTTCGGCACTGCGTGTGTAGGTCTCTCGTTTTTGTCATCGTGAATTGTGAACGACGTTCCTGTCTTCACCCTTCGCTTGGGCTTGACTGCAATCAAGGTATTGTTTTTGATCGCTGTGGTGAAATCGAGGCTGTTAGTGTCGTCACCACATTCCAAGCTCCCTTCCCACGAATTATCAAATGTATGAATTGTATCACTGTTTCTCGAATTCCTTGACTTTAACGGGCAAGGAGTTCCGACTTCGTGCAATAGACTAGACATGATGGTTGTTGTTCTGAAATTAAGCCATCAGATAGCCTTAGAGAATGTAACCAATATCTGATCTAAAGAAGCTTATCACTTAGTGCGCTTGACACTTTTCACAGATCGTACTTAATCGAGGCGGGTTGAGCGTCGAACTTGGTAGGAAAGATGATAACAAGAGATCTAACAGACGCGACAAGAGACACTCAATAATTCAAAACCCGATAACAAATTGCTGCTCATAAGGAATAGGGCTAAAGATATATGGTCAAAAATTAAGGTAGTTCAAGGAACGAAATAATGTATGGAAACGCGAGGCCTGGACTGTTGACGGGAAGCGGTTGCCCAGGTAACAAAATCGTACCTAAGTTTTGAGGCAACGAGACCGACTTCCACTTTGTTTCTTCGGTTAGACAGCGGTTGTAGGTATTCAAGCAGTTCAGCATACAGGATCTCATCATTTCCACGCGTGAATGCTTGTCGTAATGAACTAGCTCTACTCTGAGCCGTTCTCCCATGACCATCAACGGATCAGCGAACATGAGAGAGAACTTAACTACGCAAGAAAGACAGATCTCGAGTGCTCTGGTTTCTATGCTGAGGCCGGATACGCTTAGACTTCCTAAGGCGGGCGTTATCAGACCTTGTCAGCGACATCGCCAGCCGGCACGTGTCCAGAAAGCTGCAGGCTTGCTCGATCAAAGTTACCGCCGGCCAAGTACGGTTGCAATAACTGGGTTACTGCTCGCTTAGGAACAGCGTCCTGAGGCAGTTGGCTGTTGCAAGCAACTGTGAGAGGCGCCTAGCAGAATGTGAGCTTCATTGGCACAGAGCTCTCGCCGATTTCTTGGCTTTCAACCTGATGGCATCTCAAAGCCTGCTAATTTTCGTGCCGGGCTCGAGCATAATGGAAGATGGCTCTGCTGAAGATACCCTATACGATCGTCCCTCGAGCGGATGAAGAGCATGTGAGGCTAACTTCGATATATGCCGAACGTAGTGCGAAATATTCCCAATCCTCTTAAAACACCATACCATCTCTAAGCATATAGGAAGTTGGGGCTTACCACTTGAAACCGGTACTGTGTGCTCATACGAGCATCCAGCTTAGAAAGCAAAGTATACGGAGTAAACACAACGTACCTAAGGCACTATGGCGCAACGCGGCCTGGCGTCAATGTATCTGCATCTAGTCATTGGGGAGAGCTTTTCATACACCGTCATGTTATCCGAAAACGGTAAGCTGATGCAGTCCACTGCTACTGACAGGTGTATTGTAGAGACTGTTCCTGGAGATCTACCTTGGCAGCCGAAATAGGACAACACCCACGGTGACAACGCGTTTGAGATTGGAAATAAAAGACAAAGACGATCGAGAGTGTCAGGCCCTCTGTGAAGTTCCTCACTTTTATCAGAATGGATAGATGCGGGTTAGCACCGACAGAGGCTCAATCTTCCCTGATAGACTTGATTTGAACAGCAGCAGTTATTATTCATCAGAACGTCGTACCCACTTGTCCTTGTCAAAAGGCCATGATCTAATATGATCGTGAAACCGCGGGCCCAAAAACAGACCCTGCTGGTAATCCATCAGGATTTCCGCTGTAGTCCTTAGTCCGAGGTTGACATTTGAAGGGGATTTGCAGCCTGGGTAAGAGGGTGGAACCTCGGTCTAATCTGGCGTCACTTGAGCATTGTCATATGAGTGTAATGATCATACGGGCTTCTGTAGAATCAGATTGGACCATCCTCCTTTCTCCAACAACGTTAATATATCTCACCCAATAGACATTGTTCGCCTCCTCATCTATTCGAGTTTTCGTCCCTGACTATCTCTGGTGGGTCAGCATTATGCTACAGAGGACTAGCAAGTTAAAGCCAAACGGCCTCGTGGTATGAGAACTCCGATTCGACGAAAGCCAAAGCCCTCTCCATCCCCAGAGAGGCCCAGACGCATGAACCCAGCTTGATCTTCAACGTGGCCCTCTCTTCTTGCTCTCTTACTCTCCTGTACCTTGCATATCGACCGGGGCAGTCATTTCATGAATTACTAACTATCTACTTTTTCGCTTGATTTTATAGACAATCCATGTGATGCGCTAGTTGCTCTCTGATTGTCTCCCTAAAAGTCGCGTGCTCCCTTCCTGCTTACTCCTCCACTTGCCGCCAACGGAATAACTACGCTATCGTTGACGTCCTTCTCCTCAAGCATTGCACACCTCGCCGTGAGATCGCCGTGGAGATGGCCGACGAATAATTTCCGTCGATCTCGTCTCACCAGTCTCTACATTTATTTAGCATTTGTTGAGTTGATGTAACCTCCAAAATCCGCCGCTCCTCAACGACCACCTTACTATCCGCTTCGTCCCGCCACGATCCCCTCTCCTCTACCAACGTACATCCCGGAATGATTGCAGGTCATGGAAGCCCTGGTTTATGAGAACTCGCCGTTGGCGGAATATCTGAGAGGTATGTCTCCGCGGAGAGCCGTGCATAGGTTCATAGTAAATGATGATATCGTTGGCCGTTCAGGGGAAGGTGAACACGATCCAGACTGGCCGGTCCAGGAAACAAAGAGCGAGGATGATCCCTTCGACTCAACAGCATCAAACTTTGCTCCGCGGGGCACTTCAAAATTCCAAGAGCGCATCCGAAACAAGCTACCCAAACCCCTGGAACTGAAATCCTCGCGCCAGAGGGCAGTCTTGGGTAAACTCTACAATGCCTGTGCAGTATGGACTCCAACCAATGTTACCCTATCAGCTGCGGCCGGAACTCTGGCTGATAAGCTTTCTTTTGAATAGACCGCCCTGAACTCACGCGTTGGACGGAGTGACAATGAAAGATTCCTAGAGCAGTTTGGATACGTTATCGTCGCATCGCAGTTGTTGAATGAACACAGTGCACCCTCGTATACGTCAGCCGCAGACATACTATCGAACTCGAATCCCGTTGACCTTCCATCACTTTCCACAACCTTTGGCGTGCAGGGTGCCGTTGTCACAGCATCAACGTCCTTCTCAATCGCCTGGCTGTTACACTGGAGCCGATCGCGGACGGGGTCCGGATTCAACCCTCGGAAAGTCGGTGTACTTCTGGTTCTTGTCCCAGTGCTTGGGGTTCTGTTCTATGCTTTTGCCAGACGCCAGTGGCTCAAGTACCTGCGGCATCAGGCTGTTGATGCGGCTGTAGTATTCATAAGCAATGCGCAGTCATTCGATTCCGCTGCTTCGGCGTCGGTCGTTTTCATACAGGAGGTTGAGCTGGTCTCACGGGGTTATCGCATGTAAGTTGGCACTCGATCTTGGATTATCAAGCGCTATGAAGGCCGAGAAATCTAACCCCAGCACCAGAAGCACGCCCTTGCCTCCTGTAAGTAGACTTGAGGATCAAGCGCAGACACGAAGATGTCTGAGACTGCGTCGGACCGTGTCCGAGTGCTTTTACTCAATGTTGCAGCGTTACCTACAGGCTCAGCACATATTGCAACCACTGACAGACAATGACAATCTCGCCAAGTACCACGACATTTACGATGTCTCACTAGAAGAGCTCACCGAAGCCGAGGCCGCCTTGGCTGAACGGGAAACAGAAGACCAATACTCACTGCGCGCGCTTCGCACCCTTTTCGGAAGGCTATACAACGTGAGAAAGAGCATTCTTTGCTGTCTCCTAGCCCTGGGCGCCGATGGTGGCGGATCCGACATCGTAAGATGGAGCACGGCTATTGAGCAGATGCGAGATCTTGCCCAAGTCACGGGAGTGAATACCCGCAAGATGGCTAGCATTCTCAATGAAGATGACCGTGAGTTTCACCTCAATGTAGAGTATTATCCCATCCGTCACTGACTCTGTTCTTAAGGGGACGTGATTCCTCCTTCGCCGCTGCCTACGGCCTCTCCTAACAGGGAGAATCTTCGCTCTCAATTTCGAAAGCTCAATACGCTTACTCAAGGCATCCGCGCCCTTCACGCGAAAATGCATCTGATCAGAGAGCTGTCCACTGCCACTTCAGAGCCTACCGACACGGAAGAACTCGAAGCAACCCTTCTTGCCCAATACGAATCAATTGGAACGGACATCAGAGGCCTTCTTCAGGAATGGGAGGCTGGCAAAATTGCTCTGATGAGCAGCATTGACAAGCGATCCTCGGTAGATCATATGTCGCGCCCGCCCAGCGGGATGAAGCTACCATTGTCCCCAACACCCAGCCTTGGCGGTGCCACCGCGGTAGAGGGAAGCCCAGCAGATGCGCTCCGGGCTCTGAATGGCGATATCAAGCCAGATCCGAGCATTATCCAGAGTGTCGACGACGACGAGGAGATATTCGAATCGATAGTTCTCCCGTCCCGCAATAAAAGGGCGTCTCTGACGAGGGAAGAGCGCATTGCCCGTGTCAAGGAAGACCGGGCGAAACAGGCTGCTGCACGCGAACGAGCGGACGCGAATACCAGCATGCTGAAAGAGCTCGAAATGGTCATCAAGCAAAGACCTCGAGCGACAGCTTCAAAGAGGGTCACGAGTATCTGACCCACACCTGTCATTCTATCATTCTTTTCCCTTCCCTCTTTCTCGACTTGCCTCCCATCCGGATATTCTCCGTCCGCAAACGAGTATATAATATCCTTCGGCATTCATGTTTTACACTGACTGTGAGCGAGCATTGACCAAACAACTCTGCAGGCTGATACCCATTGCAAATAGAGCGGATTGGCGTCACTGGTGTTCTGTGCTTTCCTTCCTTCTTACGTTCCTTCTCTACATTAATGCTTTTCTGTGTCCATTCCACTGTACAGCATACTTAACCACTGGTCTTTGGTTGGTCTTGCGCTTTTTGAACGCTTCTATCTCCTTGGCTTTGACTTTAGGCAATTGCGTCTACGAGATTGGCGCCCTCTGAGTAATTTCCTATTTATAAATTGAGCTGTAAATAGTTATAATTTGAGATTAATCTTGGAATACAAGAAAGTTTGAAGTCTCTCTCTGATTCTCTGGGGACAAGGCAACGATGCTGCTGCCTTAGGCTCGGATGAGTCTAACCACAATTGTTCATATCAGCCCAAGGCCAACCACGCATAATGACGCGCGACCCGTGAACGCGTCTGATTCCCCACTAAACCTCGAACGCGAATTTACAGCACTTTAGAACCTCACTCTCGCTCTCCAGCCTCTGACCAGAGCCATTCTAGCTTCACACCTCCATTCTCCTGCAAGTCCTCCTATCCTTCAAAATTTCTCGCACTACAACAGCTAACAATTGACAATATTGTCTTCAGAATCATTGTCATTTGACATCCCGCTTCACTTTCACATCACGTTTTGGTCTATATCGATTTCGACGTCCAGACACACATAATCAAAAGTAGGCAGTTCTTGTCCAATTGTTTCAATGAATATCCTCTGACCGTCATCCCAGTGTTGGAAGCGCGACTAGAACAAGCAAGCCTTCTCAAGCGCGTACGTGAGCCCTCAATTTCGGGTTTGCCTGTCGGCTTCATGACTGACCTGATTCGCGCCCTGTCCAGGTCGTCGACGCTATCAAAGATCTCGTACAGGACTGCAACTTCGACTGCAATGACTCGGGAATCGCCCTTCAGGCCATGGACAACTCTCACGTAGCTCTAGTTTCCATGCTTCTCAAGGCTGAGGGTTTCTCGCCCTACCGCTGCGACCGCAACATTGCCCTTGGTATCAACCTGGTTTCCTTGACCAAGGTTCTGCGTGCCGCTCAGAACGAAGACATCCTCACACTCAAGGCGGACGACTCGCCTGATGCCGTGAACCTCATGTTTGAGAGCGCCGAGACCGACCGAATAAGCGAGTATGATATCAAGTTGATGGACATTGACCAAGAGCACCTGGCCATCCCAGAGACAGAGTATGCCGCCACGGTGGAGATGCCGTCGGCAGAATTCCAGCGGATCTGCAGAGATTTGAATGCGCTTTCTGAGTCTGGTGCGTTATGGGATGCTGTCATTGGCAATTTTCTTACTGACCTGTGATAGTCGTCATTGAGGCTACAAAGGAAGGTGTCAAGTTCTCATGCCAGGGAGACATCGGCAGTGGCTCGGTTACAATCCGTCAACACACCAGCGTCGACAAGCCGGAGCAGAACGTTTCGATTGCCCTTAGCGAGCCTGTTGCTCTCACCTTTTCCCTTAAGTACCTCGTCAACTTCTGCAAGGCTACATCGCTGTCGAGCCAGGTTACTCTCTGCCTATCACAGGAGGTGCCTCTACTTGTTGAGTACGGGCTGGGAAGCGGCCACCTGAGATTCTATCTCGCTCCTAAGGTATGATCTTCCTTACCCGTCGATTCCGATGCCTTGATGTTAACTTTCACCCCGAATAGATCGGAGACGAGGAGTAAGAGGTTCAAGCGAATGAGGCGGGAAAGGCGAAGGGGGTGTTACTATGACATGAAGAGGGAGCATAACGGTGGCAACGAACATTTCTTTCTATTTTTCCTGGTATTCAAAATATCCCATGAACATTAGCCGGATAGGACAACTACGGAAATCACATTCGATAATTCACCTCGAGGGTCGGCGATCCAGAATTGTAAGTATGTATGAAAGGACTCGCGGATTTCTTGAGAGGGCCAGCTACTATGACCATCGAGTAGCCACAGGGCTACCTGAGCACGACTACTTTCAGTTCAGTGACTACGAAGTTGTGTACAATTTGGAGAGACCAGAATCCATTCTCATTCCACAATACACCACATAATACAGCACTAGGCCACATTTCCATCCGTGCTACTAGCACAAGCTCCAAGGGTACCAACAGCGTCCAGATTACGCCTTCCCCCTACATGACACGACAGCAACCCTATCAAGCCCAAAAGGCCAACCCCTAACTCATTAGCAGGGGCAAAACAAGTTCTTTCCAGTCCCAAACCACCAAACCACACGGACAGGAAGGGAATAAAAAATTACAAACTGACCTGAAAGGGAAAAAAGATGAAGCGCCACCCCAACCAGAATAATCGGAATCGAATGATACGCCCCCCAAACCAACCATTTCTGGCCGGAAAGGACGGCGCATGCTGCGTATTGCACTAAAGTGTCATAACACACAATCTTCGCAACGACTCTCCCATGGGGAAACCCGAACCCTACAGAGTAGGATCCGGCCCCGATGTTTCTGATGCCGATTGCAGGTGCTTCACACCAGGCCCTCGCGGGCAGTACCGGCCCTCTGGACCGCGAGGCACAGAGGGCGGGTTACTGGGTAAGGTGAAGATTCCTCCGAATTTCTCATTTGCGGGGCCCTCGATGATGCTGGGATCACGCGAGGGGACGCGGCTTGCGCCTCGTCGTGTGTAGCAAAGAAACGCAGCATTGGTTGGGGTGGCGCTTGAGGGGGGAAAGAAGAGAGGGAAGAGAGAGGGAAATTTATTGTTGTGGTTTTATGGTGGTGGGATTTGGTGACTCACCGCCTGCCTGGTGGGTGGACAGCGTTGGATTACTAATCGGCTCCCTGATCGAAGTGGGAGACTTACTAGTAGGTTCGAGCAAGCGAGGAAAAAGGGTCGATGTGAAATGCGTATGCTGTATTGGTTGTGTATAATGGCATTTTCTCATGTGATAGATTTCATCTTGATATCCGTCGAAAAGAGTAGGCAGCGAGCATTGACCGAGGCTCTTAATAAAGATAGCCGGCTCATAAATTCTAATCGTAGCAAGATTCTCAACATCATCCGATATGGTGTAACGGCTAACATCGCCGTCTTTCACACGGCAGCTCGGGGTTCGACTCCCCGTATCGGAGCTCATAATCTTTTTTAGCTATTTTTGCTCGCTCATTCTTGACTTAATAACAAGCTGTACGGGTATTGCATCTTTGAGGACCGGTGAGCTTTTTCAATTTCAACTTTTTATGGTTGTTTCTGGCAATCGGTCAAGGTAAATTGGCGGCGACATGCTGGTAACTGTCCCAGGTCTGTTGTATGCTACGCCAATGTGGCGCTATTGACTAGTTCACGCCATAATGATAGGGAAAAGAGCTTTAGCAGGACCATGATAATTGACTGACTTGCAAGCACCACCAGCTAAAAAGCATAAAATAATGTACAAATGTTTCCATTCATTTTCTCTGAGCTCTCCCTCAAAACGCTTATGAGGTCATTGTGGATTCCAACGGCAATATCATAGTGGCATTAACCTATGCTGCAGATAGGTTTGAACTCAAGCACTCTCAACTCGCCTGTGCGAGGAGGCATGCTGTTTTCAGATCATGCCGCTCTCGAATCTTCGATATGCACCGGTACAGGGAAAAGTGACACCAAGGGGTATATGATTGAAGGGAAAACATCGAAGGAACTGAATATACGACCACGCCTATCATCCTCGCTTCCAAGTTCTCAATGTTCTTAACATCTGACAGGAAGAGGACGGTGCATATTAACCACTGTCTCATCTGGCGACTCCATTCATGTAAGGATTTGACCAAAGAAGCCATGATCGCGAGGACTAGACGAAATGACGCATTTCAGCAGCTCACGAGGAGAACTTGCGGGTGATCTTGGCGATGACTGCAATAGCAACGAGTATTAGAGCATTGGCTGAGCTTTCGGAACGCACACCACACATACCGTGAAGACCGACAACGGAGAAAATGAAACCCAAGCTGAGCACTAGAACGACAACAGGGTCGACCCTCAGACCAGGGCTCTCGTCGGTGTAGAGCTTGAGCATAGTACCGGAGGAACCACCCGCACCAGCGGCACGGGTAGAGCTGGGCCTAGCATTGCGGAGAGATTCCTTGTGGTCTGCGGCCGCGCGGCGACGCAAAGCAGCTCTGGGACCACCGGGAGGAGTAGGAGAAGAAGGACGGTTGACAGAGCCAGTGGCGGAAGCCCCAGCACCGGCGCCAGAAGACTTGGTGTCAGGGCCGGACTCAGCACCGGAGGTCAAGGGAGAAGCAGCACGAGCAGAGGCCTGGAACAGTTGCACGACTATGGTCAACCTTCGATTCAATGTAGGTGGCGGTTTGAAATGAGCAGTTGGAGCTTCCGTCCGCAGAGCACATAGCGCTGCTTCTCAAGGAACGACAATCGAAAGAGGAACTCACCATCTTGAGCAATTGAATGAGGAAAGGGGAGGAGAAGAAAATCAATGAAGGCGATGAAAAAAACTAGACTGTGAAATAAAGCAAGGACTAATAGAAGGAATAAAAAATTTGTGGTGACAGGCGAAAGAAGAAAACCGAACTGGGAGATGAATTAGCTGGCAGAGGGTATGTGAGGTGAGGTCGCGAGTTGCCAGAATAGAGGCCACGATCACGATTTCCAGCCAGTCGGGTATGGTAACGTATGGTTACGTGCTTTACCTTAGGTACCTTAGACTTACCCCAGCTTCATGTGACCCAATCATATCCGCTCTCCACTTTCTGACCCCTGAACTGATAAAAGCTGAGACTTTGGCAATCAACATCAATGAATGAGAGGTGGCTAGGTGCTCCGTAGATTTCAGTAGTAATGTGTAGTTCTCATTGTGTTAATAAGAGCTGTCGCATACCATTCGAATGAAGCCAATCTGCAGTAGTGCTCTGATCATCACTCATGACGAACCAGAGCTGAGAATCGACCAAAGCTAGCTAGGACTTATTCTGTTTAACACTTCAAAATTTTTGATATATGATAACTATGTTATATTTGAGTTTAAAGTAGTTACAATACACGCCAGAGTAGATGCACATTCGTGATATACCAGAACCTGAAGGGGAATAGAAACAGTCATCAAATGAACGCCATTGTGCCATCAAGGAATAGGAAGCAGAGTAAGGGACGAAACGGGAAGTGACTGAATATGATTGAATAAAAATCGCTCAACCAAACTTCAGGAGGTCGAAATAGTCGTCAGGCAGCCTAATAAACGCAGGTAAGGTATCATATCGAAGGTTCCAAAAACATGCCCCATTGTCAGTACCCAAAGAGCCCGTAAGCGAGGTATTGATCGAGTACTACCGCGTACTCGCGGTTTCCGTTCTAATATACGGAATAAAGAAGCGAAGAGTCGCGTATTTGCACTTTCGTTTCTTTCAGCCCTCCCTTTTTTTTCCCAATTCAATTGAATTCCGTCGTGAGGAGCAAAACAGCAATGCTCAATCAATCATCATTCGATTGGGTATCGCGCCAGCCACATTCGAGGACAGCTCGGTGGTCTTCTCCGCCTCCTTGCTCGACTTTCTCTTGTTGATATGGGGTTTCAGACCCTTGTGGAAATTGTGCATGCACATGGAAGCGTTGATGATAGTCAAGATGATGAGAACAATCGTGATAACAGCAAAGAATGTGAGTGACCGCCGGGCTGGCAGATAGTTCGCGTAAGTCTGTGGTTGGTACATGCGCACAAGCTTGAATAGGAAATAGGCCATAGCTGCAAAGTAAAGAAGCTAGTTATGGTCAGAAACAGCAATATAGGTTGCGGAAGCGGGAAACATACGATGATGATGATCATTCCGACTGAGCTCTCACGTCGAACAAATATCGCCGCGCAAATCAGAATTAAGATCGTCACAGGTATAGCAGCTAGGGTCAGAGAGAACTCAATGTCGGCTTTATCGGTGACGATAACGACGAACTGCACCGTGAACCCGAGGAAGAAGAAAAAATCAAATTTGAGAAGTGCGACATAGATCTGGCCATTGGTAAATCCTCACGTTTTTTCTTGATCTTCATTCTGTGAGTAGGAGTCACAAACCTGGTATGTGAGAAAGCGACGCTTCATTCGCAGATCAGCACTGATATGCTTGTAGATCGACCATGCAAATTCATCATAAAGTTTCCATGCAACCATCATCATGAGAATTGTACCCATTGCCACGACGCATGGAATGATGATCAAAAAAGGCTCGGTTTCTCCCCATACGTCGACATTGATAGCCGTATTGTCGGTCAGAATGGAGACAGCGTCCCTCACCTGCTGAACCTGCACTGCCCCGTAGATCAAGAGTCCAATGTTGCAAAGACATAAACCAATGACCTGAATCGTGTTCTTCATCCGCAAGGCATCGTATACAAGCACCAACTCATATAGGAATCCAAAGCTGTAGAGCGCTAAGAAAATAGGGATTGTTTTTGATGCGGTGACAACCTCGGCTTCCTTTTTAAGCTGGCTCTGGTAGTTGGCGAAAATGTAACTAGACCACCATGCGTTAGCATTAACAGCGTAATGGAGATTTATAGACATCCGGGCCCACATACCATTCTAGTGCTAKAGTTATGACAGTCTGGATGAAAGTGACGATGACAAAGGACCACGTCCACATCGAATTTGGGATATACATTTTGCGCTTGGGGGGTTTTGGCGTCACATTCGTGTAGCCCTCTCGTGAACGGAAGCCTCCAGGACCTCGTCTAAACGA